AATAAAATTAAAATAAAAACGACGAAAGTCAGTAAATGATATTTTATCATGAACTCAAGAATGGTACATACTCATCAGGCCCGCTTGATTTACTGTAATTTTACGGAATATCACCTTCGTGAAGAAGCGAGAAGAGGCAAAAGCGCGACTACTAAATTTCCCACTCAGTTTCCACAAAGTTTTGCCGCGCTAGGCCCAGGTCTAATATACCTATAGGAAAATTTCCTTGTTTCTTTTGGTGAATTATATTATACTAGCTCTTCGCCCGCGGCTTCGCTCGCGTTGTAGCCCTTTCAACCCTTTTTACGGTGGTAGGGCCACGCAGCAGCCTCGTCTGTTGCACGAATGGGCAGGTCCATCCGGGAAAGTACCACGACCTTACAGAAGACCAGCGTAAAGTGGACGTATGACAAATACTTTCGCGTTTCGTCTGGTGAGTTTTTCAAATACCAATTTTCAAAAGGTTGTCAACGCATCTGTAACCCTCGGGTGTAGCAGATGTCCATGGGCGGCGGTATCCATTTAACATCAGGTGACCCGTCCGCTCGTTTGGCAACTTTTCGCATAAAAAAAAACTTTTATCCAATTAAAAAATAGCCTATGTCCTTTCTCAGGCTCTAGACTATCTGTGTACTAAATTTCATTTAAATAAAGCTCAGTAGTTTTGGAGTGAAAGCGAGGCAGACAGACAGAGTTACTTTCGCATTTATAATATTAGTATGGATTGTCAGTGTTCATTGTACTGTTTTTCAAATTGTTAAGCCAGCACTTGACATTCGAATATATCATAACTTTTTATTACCTCTATTACACCTTCTAGTACAAAATATTAATCTTTACCATTATTTATTAAGACTGCGTAGCCTGTGTAGCATTTACAATGTTGTATGGACTGACTGAATGACCACAATTTATGAACCTACCGAACTAGGGAATGCTTTTGATATCAAATGTTAAGATACACACTTGATAATATTCATTATTTAGTTCTTTACAATATGTATAATGTTTTAAAAATATTGATCCTGTTTAGAGTGGTATAGAACCAGTCCCTTTGTTATTATGATTGATTTTCCCAGTCTTGATATCAAATCATGTTGTTACTAAAATCAAAACTATACCTTCTGGGTACATTTTAAGTACAGTCTGTACATAAAATGTACCCAGAAGATATCTGGATCTTACTTATTTGTTGTCTTTATTTTGCACGTGAAGCATTAAGTTTATATCCTTGTTTGGTAAGATATGTTTTTTTATAATTAAATAACGTTTTCTTGACTTTGATTGGAGCATAACCAATATTTTCAGGTGAATTTAAAAGCTCTGTTCGCCATTAGTTAAATATGCGTTGTTTCGTTATGCATTTATAATATTTTATATTATATTGATAGAAGTTCTTGGTTTATTAAATAATATACAAATGTTAAATATAATCCGTAATATTATCCGAAATAAACTGTGTCGGATAATATTACAGATATCTTTTGTTGCCGTGCACCAAGTTCACTATATTTAAAGCGACAACACTGTTTCCAACAATTTTGCGAAAATACTCGCGTAGTTATAAATTACCTCCATTGTGAATAAAGATATTTATACTGTATTTTGATATGTTCGTTAAAATTAATTGTTGTACTTTAACGATTTCTTACAAAATGCAATTAATTTCTTACAAGTGCACACATTTTTTTTTGATTTCATATGTATTAATATACACCTTACATAATTCTTTTATAATTTTGATTTTTGATATGGAATTAATCTCAATCTTTAATCTCAAAATGTTCCAACGGTCGCAGTCAGAGACGTCTATTAGTTTTTACTAACAATAAGTTAAGTGGAATCATACTAATAAGACTTCGATAGTTTAACGCTTTTAAATACTTGATCGTTTATTATATGTACGAGAATACTTCACATTAATAAATGAAACGATTAATATTAATACGGATTTATTGACGTTTTCGATTATTCTAGTTTTAAATAATTTGGTTGCGGGTTAGACACACAGAGGCGTTGGTCGGAACATTATTATTAACTACTAGTTTTTTGCCCGCAGCTTCGCTCGCGTTGAAGCCCTTAAATAAATATCTTTCTTTAAAATATATATATATATATATATATATTTTAAAGTTTTTTCCAATTAAAAAACAGCCATGTCCTTTCTCAGGCTCTAGACCAGTGATTTTCAACCTTTTTTTTGTTGCGGCACATATTTAACGATTTCAAAATTTGGCGGCACACAAAGAAAAAGATACAAATTATTTACTTACTACAACACACTGCATAAATAGTTTATGACAAAAATTTTAAATATACGAAATAAACTAATATATACTACAATAATAACTAAACGTTTATTAAGGGATTAATTACAAGCTAATAATAAAAATATTTTTAATGCGAAATTTGAGCTTAATGTTTTTTGATAATTTCATTTATATTTGGTCTTAAAAATGACAATGCTACTCTCATATCATCTTATCTCTCGTATTTAACAATCTTGATCTTTTTTTAGTTTTAATGTTGGCTAATGCCAAAAAATATTTTTTTTAAATGATATAATTTAATAATATTAACATTATTATATATTTGAAAAATTTGGCGGCACACTTTTGAAATTTGGCGGCACACAAAAGTGCCGCGGCACAGTGGTTGAGAATCACTACTCTAGACTAACTGTGTACCAAAATTAATTTAAATCGGTTCAGTAGTTTTGGCGTGAAAGCGAAACAGACAGAGTTACTTTCGCATTTATAATATTAGTACGGATGGCAAATAAATACTAATTCACGTTTCTGACTGTGGTAATAAGAAACCTAACTGATCCACACACTTGACAATAATAGTGAATATTGTAGTATTTTTCCACTTTTCCACACTTATCTATAACTTGTAACACATTTAACAAACCTTTCTCTATCCTTCTGATGAAATTGTAATCAAGCTATATTAAAATGATTATATGAAATGATATCTGTAGTTATTATTTTTAATTATACTGTCGTTATTTTAAAGGAAAAGCCGGTATTTTATATGTTAAGAAGGGCTATTTATTATACATATTACATTTAGCATTAAATCCGTTACTAAGCGAATTTATAAAGGCCCCACGATTGAATGATAGAATTTATATCTAGGTAACCATTAAATGACATTTCTGTGTACCGCCATAAGTCTACTATGCGGCCCTATGAACGACTTACCAGTTTTAATAGAATTCTGATATAATAATAAATTTTATTTATCGTACACAAATATTAATATAATATTCAATGTTATTTAGCCCTGAAAATTTAAAATAGTAATTTGTATAGGATTTGAATTCGAGTTCGTTATGTAAGTACATAAAAATTAACAGCGAGTACCACGTATCCTTTTGAATTTGAAGCTTTACGATATATTTTAATGTTTTTCGAAATTATATTTTAATGTTAATTACAAATCTATTTTTATGTTTTTAATGATAGCTCAGTATGATTGTTGATCGTTCACCGATGTAAATAGAGGATATGGCAGCACGAAGAATTTCTAAGCTTCCACACAATTATCAGCAGATAGATTTGATTACTAGGTTGGGCTCATGCAGAATATGCATATTTAATTCAATATACCTACAAGAGCAACCTGAGTTCAAATCTGGATGCAGGCACAAGAGCAGCAATTGCCATGCCATTGAAAAACGGGGCTCTGGTTATTTAAACCCATCTCTGAACTCTTTGTTATCGAGAAACTTATTAAGATGTTGTATATTAAATTGACTTGAATGTATTGATATGTATTGAAAAAATAATAATAATTTGTGTAGTATGATAAGTTTTCAATTGTTAGTTTCTCATCAGAATTATTCTAAATTGTCTTTTTGTGACTAGGAAGAAACGTTTAGCAGTTTAGCCGGATACCGGATATTCGGCCAACCTTGTAGCCCTTGTTGTGCCACAAGGGGGCAGGAGGGTGTAAGATATCACGTGTATTTATTTTTTCGTCAAACACGCTATTTCGAAACCGAAAAGTGGCGTGAAGACTGTAATGTGAGCTTGACTCGCCATTGCCAGGCGTAGTCCTTGCACGCCGCGCGCCATGGCCGCCTGCATCCGCCAGCCAGTCACCAGTTATTCTGTCATATTGGCTAAAAGATAATATTTTATTCTAAAAATTTTAAATCTTTGTACGTACTAAAAATAATCACGTGATTAATGGACCGCCCCGAAGAGACACACAGTCAGCAGTATCTCGCAAAGCTCAAGCCACAGGGATGCAAATGAAAAGCAAATGAAAACAATACGAGCCTGGTCCAAAGCGAATTCTGAAGATTGATTTTTATCTTAAGTTAATGCGACCCTTATTCTTGAGGGGCAGCTAATCCTAAGCAATATTCAAATTTAACAGTTTGCCAAAATCTATTTTTCAGCTCCTTGCAGCAGTGTGTACAGCAAAAGACTTTTTCTGAAGCCGACCTTATTTATGAAGACAACCAAACCCGTTTGCTACCTCTTAATGCAGAGAAATTATTAGAATTTATTCACCAACATGGATAGTTAAGGATACTCGTTTAATCTCTACTTTATACTTTTGTTTTCATATAACCGCTTTTATTAAATTTTTTCTAAATCAGCTTATGGTCGATTTTATCCGTTCGGCGCGTCTACCGTTTTGTATGCACAAATATTTGTTACAGGGGAATAATTAAATGCTATTTTGTACGTACGTACATTTGTACGTGCTAGAACGCATACGTACGTATGTACGTATGTGTTCTAGCAAACTTTCTGACTTCGATCAAAAGGGTTATAATTCCACCTCAATACAACAAATCAATCATAATTTTCGTCTTTTTTTAACAACAGTCCTTTTATTGTGTACAATAAATAAGAATAATATAAATACTGTTCAATAAATAACTAGCTCTAAACACTAGCCGATTCGATCGAGTGAATTCAACACTATGTACAGTCTGTTCATTTTCGTGCTAACATTATTTACATGAGGTAGTTCCTTTAGTGGGTGGCCGAGGATGAGGATGACGATGAGGAGGAAATGGAAGCGACACTCGAGTAGCTCGGCGACTGGTTGGAGGCGGCCGATGCGCTGGAGTCGCCCGGGTAGTACGAGCTGTACGCCAGTTGGGAGGGGTCCCAGACGCGGGAGTAGGGTCCGGACCCGGAGGGCTCCCATTGCGGGCTGTAGGAGTCTTGAGGTGCGGCGGGCGTGGAGGGGGGCCCGTACTGGTTGGCGGGAGGGCCGTATTGGGGCGCCGGCGGGGCCTCCGTCGGAGTCATCATCATCGGCATGGCTGTAAAAGGTATGGGGTAGGTAATTTTAGATGAGCGACGGCCCTCGCGAGCCGTTCATTTATTCTTGTTTGAGTATTGTACACTGGCGGACTTAATGCCATCACCATGTGGTTGCATTAAGTCCGCCAGATGTAGGCTTTTACGTTTGCCGACCTTGCACTCATCAGGTCTTCAACATCATTCTACCAGCTAGCATAGCTATCAGTGGTAGCCCAAAAGTGTGAATGTGTATTTTTCCAAAACAGTGTTTTGTGCGTCTGTGGTAATTAGCCGATTTATTCAACTGTAAAGCTATTACGGGACTGTTATATTAAGTTATAACCGCCGCCCATGGTCAATTACAACACCGTAGAGTTGCAGATGCGTTGCCACTTTTTAAAGTGGGCCCCGGCTGCCTCACTCACCAGACGAAACGCAGAAGTAAAACACTTCCACTTCACGGCGTTCTCCTGTGAGGTCGTGGTACTTACCCGGACGGAGATGCCCATTCGTGCCGAAGCTAATGTGTGGCCCTACCACAGCCTACTACCAGATAAGTTTCTTATATCCTAATACAGTGTATCCAGCCCTCACCTCCTTTCTTCATCAACAAGTTGTAGATGAGGAATCCGAGGACGAGAGTAATGGCCAGCTTGCTAAGGATCAGCGCCTTCACGGCCTTGATTCCGATGATTGTGACCAGGATTGGCATCAGGGCTTTCAATTTCAGTTTCAACAGGAGGAGTACTGGCAGCAGAAGCTTCTTCTTCAAGATGCCTCGAGCTGAAATGATACGTTATTAAATCGATACATTTAATTTTAATTTTGACCTTAACTTAACCCTTCCGCTTAACACTATCGGACTTGAACATTTTTCTTTCCTTGTCAACATAACTAGAAGTTTACTTCATTTCAAAGTGTTAGCAATGTACCCGCGACTGATAATAAAGCGAGTGTCATATAGGCGAAAGACAATAACAGGGTTTTGCCGGTCTAACGCGTTTACCATCAACGCTTCGCCAGTTACCATCAAGAAGGAATCAGTCTGTGATAGGACCTCAGACAGTCGGATGTACCTTCGCCGTTTTCCGATTTCTCCTCGGGGAAGTCGACGTCCAATCCCCTGTCGGCGCGGTAGGAGACCTCGGCGCCCTGGAACAGGAACTCGGGCAGCTGGAACCTGAACTCGTTCGCGTTCAGGATCCTCCCGACGCGGTCGAAGATCGCCTTGTCGATATTCCCCTCGTCGAACGCCCTCGCCGACTCCGTCCGAACGCCAAGATTCGTGTCCAGGAAGGACAGCACTTTCCCCTTCAAGCAGGACATGGGCGAAGACGCCTCGAAACAATCACTGATCACACTGTCGAGGAGATCGTCACTGCTCCTCAGTCTGCTCGGCTCGATCTCATTGTCCCTGATGGCGTAGCCGTGCACCAGAGCCGCGGTGGCCACGAAAATGCATAGACACTTCATCCTACCGTTCCTCACTTTGTCATTAGATACGTTTAATTGGACGTACGCCGCGGCCGGTTAATGGAGCAACAATGATTTAATTTTTCGATGGGCTTGGTATTTATAGTTGATCCTTTGGGCGTCAAGGCACGCGGAAGCCGCGCGCGCGTTGAATGCTAAAGCCTCTCATACTTGGCGAAGTGTTTAATTTCGTTTAAGAAAGTCCCCCCGGTGAGAGTGAGTGCGTTTTTGGCGCTAATATCATATAAAATAATTTCATAAATACTGCACGGAATGTGTAATACTATTTATGAAATTATTATCAATTTTGAAAGCCTCAATAAGCCAAAGCCAAAATACCTCGTTAGCAATTGTATCTTTGACTGTACGTTTAAACTTTTTGTTCTGTAGGTTAAAAATTTAATTTTCATAATTGATAATTTTTATTATATCCTTCCAGACTCATGTAGCTAGATGAGTACTATAATTTTATTACTTATTTTTTATTGTATATTTTCATAGAGTATTAATGTCTGAAATCAAGTAAATTTATTGTTTTCGTTAAAAATTACTTCAATTGCTTGTGGAAATTTTGTGGATTCTGTTGTTGACTTAAAAACATTTTTATATATTTCAAATGTAAAAAATTATTTTCATAATTTTAAATCCAATAGGATTTATAAAAGTAATGATGAATTTAATATGCAAAAAATGTTTGCTTTCAAAAATATTTTTATCTTTATGGCTACTTTGCATGTGGTTATTTCACACGTGTGTGCACTTATTACATGGCCGTCATAAATAATAGATATATTGTAATGCCCATATTCATTTCATTTGTCTAGACTTTCGGAGGAATGTGCAAATTGATTAATCCTTTTAGAGTCTTTTTTTCATATTTAACGGTACGACTTATAAAAATAGATTATAGATATTTCATATGTTTACGCTTTATAATTTTTACTCACCTGCTCTTTTTCACCAGTTACCACGGATGTGATGAGAGCTTTTAAAATGTCAATTTAAATGAAGAATCATGTAACCATTTCTTACCGACTCTATAGGCAATCCCGAATTTTATTTGCAGCTGCATTTTCGTCGTATGTTTGCGCACAATTAAACGAATATAATTTACGGCTGCCCACCCCTGTAAATTAACCGGTGTCCCATTTAATATTCGCCTCACTTCAGCTCTCACCAGCGCGTCGTACATATCAATCAATCACATTTCAATTGTTTTGACCGCATAAAAACACACGCTGACGTATTCCGCAATGGCCTTATATAACACCTCAATGAATTACATTCGTTCAAATCTTCAATAAACGACTTCTATCGAATAAAATTAAGTGAGGACATTTAAAAAGATATTGAAAAAGAAAAAAAAATGACATACAAAAAAATATTCAGGATTCAAAAGTCTTGGATAATGTTTTCAAAACAATAATTTAATTTTGACTTGTACATTCGATATAGGTACCCTATTAAACTGAAATTAGTGCAATTTTAAGTACCCTCTGATTTACCACGATGTCGGTAGTGAAGAAATGTTTGGATCTGAAGAATAAAATGTAATAAGCAATACTAATAATTGCACTTTAAAATTTGAGCATAGTAATGTCAGTGATAATCTGTGTGAGGGATGTCCTACAACAACGACATCTGAAGATAAAATCAGTGCTGTGCAACGCATGATAGAGAAGGATGAGTCAGTGATCAGCAGATTTGGGCAGGCTTAGGCATTGGTATGAGTGAAGTACAACAAATATTACACGACCAGTTAGGCGTGAAGCTTTGTACCAGATGGATTCCTTATACTTTACCGAAGACCAGAAACCCATTCGCAGGGGTTGGTGTCGCGAAATGTTAGAAAAGTTCGCGAAACGAATAACTAATAATTTGACTATGGCAGATGTCGAGATAATGATTCATTCGCCATATTGTCCCGATCTAGCAAATTTCTATTTAATCGAAGATATACTTCGAGGTATTTGCTTTACTAGCCCTGAAGATGCGGTGAGTGCTTTCGAAAAAGCCGTAGAAGAGAAAAATCCTTTTACGTTCCATCCAGTGGTCCCATCGAATGCGAAGATGTATAGAGACTTAGAGAGAAAAGGAGGACGATTTATACTTGTAGACAAAACAATAAAAATATTGGCAACTTTCTAGTTTGAGCTGTTTTATGATATTCTAAGAACTTTTAGTGTGACCCACGTAATTGATCATGGCCGCTCATGCTATCCATGCAACACCAACTACAAATAAGATACCGTCTTTTAATAATTAACGTATTTAACTTTATACTTACACTGGTCAGCAAAAACAACTTTTTAAATCAAAAAATAGCTATATTATAACTCAGAAAACTCTTATAGATCGCTTTTATTAGTATTTTATAGGTAGATAAGTAATGCTTGTTATAATAGGGTTAATTTACACAAGTATAATTTATAGCTTCAGAATAAATAATATTTAGAGTTTAGAAAAACAAAACAAATTGTAAAATTATAACAAGAATATAAAGATAAGACTATGGTAGAAATCAGCGTAGTACTGCTTACTAACTAAAGTATCTGTTTCTACGGCCCAAAGACTGTTTTAGCGATTCCGGATAAAACATTAGAAAACCTGGAAATGGCATATAAGAAGCCCAATTCATCGTGAGCACTGTACCAAGAAATCGATGTTTCAAGGCTGTTCAAGTCCACTGCTTCAAGAAAATCACCACAACCACAAACATTGTGAGCATATGGAAATGGCCTGTGGCGTAAGGCCGGCCCGAGAGGGCCGCTCCGAGTGGGCTCATTGAACCCATTCTGTATGCGTGCTGGAGGGTGCAGGGGATAGGTCGAGGGTGGTAGAGGTGGAGCCACTCTCCCTCTCTTCTGCTACCGAGGTGGAGTTGCGGGGGAAGAGAAGTGTCGGTATTACGGTGCGCCGTTCTCCCTACCCTCCGCGGCCGAAACGTCGAGGCGGAGCCACAGACTAGGTCCGCAGCTTGGGGCTGGGAGGCTTGCTGCTTGTTGGCACTGGCTTTCCTGGCTGTCATGGCCTCTGGTCAGCGAACTCGGGGGCGTTCTTTCGGGCCGAGTAGGAAGGCGCGTTGAATGTTCCAGGGTGCCATACCTGGAGGAGAGGGGAGTTGCTCCCCGGGAGGGGGCTGCTGCAGCGGCCAGCGCTGGCAGGGTCGCGGAAGTGTGCGAAAGCGTTCCTGTGGCCCTGCCGATATGCGCATAGCTCGCTCTTGCCCCCGCGAGGGCGGGTATGCGTGGGCATTTCCCCCAAGTACCTAAGCAAAAAAAGGTATGTTCCATGAAGTGTTAATAACACACCTGCATCACGAATTGGTTTACGAATAAATTTTAGAAAGAATTTTGAAGTGTTATACTTCTGCGTTTCGTCTGGTACGTGAGGTAGCCGGCGCCAACTTTATTAAAAGGGGGTAACGCTACGGGTGTTGAAAATGTCCATGGGCGGCGGCTGTCACTCAACGTCACGTGAACCGTCAGCTCACTTGCCACCTTCTCACATAAAAAAACGTAGCCAGTGTTTTTTTTATAAATATAAACTGCTTATTATTATAGGGGCAAAATCGGAGTAGCTAGTTGGTCTACAACAGTGATCCCCAAAGTGGTCTATATCGACCCCTAGGGGTCAATGACAACCTGCAAGGGGTCTACGTCAGCGAAAAAAAATTTGGGGGTCCATGAAATGAAAATGGGGGTCCACGATAGTGGATCTCAACACATACACTGATAGTACCTATTTACTTACATCATACCATCCTTTAATATCAAAACATATACATTATTTATAAAAGTACCCATGAAGTAAAACATTTATTATATGTTTATAAAATTGTGTAAGTTGTAGGATGTTGGTATGCCTCCACAAAGGCAGTAAATTTTGAACTTGTAAAAACCTGAGAGTCGCAGTCTCAGAGCTTCGCTACCTTGCACTGACTTGTTCAATTCATCACTCTATAAATACGAATGTGGGACAAATACGTTTATTCGTTTCCTGAATCTTGAAAAGGAAAGTGCTAAGAAAATATTAAAAAAAATATAAACAGATTGTATATCACACAAATTATAGTGAGTCAGTGTTATTTTGTTTGAGAGTGCTGGAGAAAAGTAAGTACATTATTTTTTATTAAATTTTAGTTTTGTACTCGTAGTTAGCAAAGATAGATAAATTACGCCAATCATGACTTTAGTTATTAGTAGTTTAATATTCAATCATGCAAAATTACACGAGAACTCCTCAATAGTTTCTTTTTGAAAGTTTTAGCAATCGGTATTATAATTACAGTGCAATCCGTAATTCGAGCTAATTGTTGCAAGAAGATGTTCGAATTATGGAATGTTTTCGGAAAAATCCAAAAATATTTTTAATTTACAGCTGCTGGATTTTCTGTCTTATTTAAATAATTTAATTTTGCCCACAGATGACTGATGCCATGTCCGAATCTAAAAAGAAATGTAGACAGTACAGTGTTGATTATTTGAAGCTTGGCTTCATTCCATCATTGCCGAACAAACAATCGCCTATGTGCCTTTTATGCAACAAAGTTTTGGGCAATGACGCTATGAAACCATCTAAACTGCAAGATCATCTGAGAAGATGCCAGAGATAAAACAGAGAAAGATTTGAAATACTTTCAAACACTCAAAGATAAACTTCAGAAGAGACCTACACTGGACAGAATGTTCGCTTCGACGTCACAAAAAAATGATGATGGTTTGCGGGCGTCTTACAATATCTCGTTACTTATAACAAAATCCGGAAAACCGCATACTATCGGAGAGAAGTTAATTTTGCCAGCCGTTGAAGAGGTTTTAAAAACTGTTTTACACAAACCTGCATCTGATATCATTAAAAGAATTCCCTTAAGCAACAATACTGTTGAAAGACGTATTGATGAAATGAGTTCTGATATTGAAAGCTTCTTATGTGATTATTTGCAAACGACCCATTTCTCTATACAACTGGACGAGTCAACTTTACCTGATAATGCAGCA